TAGAGAAGAGAGGAGGAATTGGATTTTTTAGGTGGACTTTATACAGAATTCATCAATCATACGTGAGCCAACTAATACACCGTACGATGAAGTTTTCACTGACGGCATTGAACCACCACGTTGCTGGCCTATAATAGCGATAATACAATAATATTTGCATATTTAAATAAACAAATATAAATAACTTCATCGATTAATTTCAAATTCAAATATATATGTTTATTAGTCTAAGAAATTATATAGTCTAAGTAATAAATATAATAAATATACAATATAGTAAATACAGTAAATAAATATGCGATATAGTATATATAGTAAATAAATATAATAAATATACAATATGAGTAATAAATATACGTATAGGTGCAATAAAAGAAATTTTTTTACCTCTTTTTCTGACAATTTTGTACTTTCAAGGAAGTTATTTTCCGGATTGCACAATCTATCATTATCGGAGATAATGATCTGAGCAATAAAATAATGAAATTTCCGGTTCAAAGTTTCACACTACATTGTCTGTTGCTATGGTAAGCATTGTATCGAAAAATTGAAGGTATCAATAGAAATAATAAGATATTATTGGTAGTTGTTAAATTACCTAATATTATATTTTACCGCGATAACAGCTAAAATTTATCGGATGTTATTATAATAATAATTAACGATGTAAGTTAAGATTTCTTAACAAATTATTCTATTGTGTTTACTTTTTTTGTTTTATTGCTAATCATTTTTCCAAAATTCTTTTAGAAAAGAAAGACAATTATCTTTCTACGAAGAAATTCACAGATCATAAATAGTTCAACAACTTTTGATAGATTTGAATTAACAAAAAGAGAATAAATTAGAATTGTAAAATAAGATAAATAATTGAGTGTTAGAATTTTTCTTATAAATATTTAATCAAAATATTTGATAATACTTGATAAGCAATGATAATGCTATTATCATTTATTAATAATAATGCTATTATCATAGGTTAAAAGTGAAAGAAGATGAGGAAGAGATTATCATTTGTAACTAAATGTTTTGACCTTATAAATGATAATATCGCATTGAAATATATATATATATTGAAAACAATTGAAAACTATTAAACAAATATTGAACTTTGCAACAAAATAGAATGAATATAATTTTGTCTAAACAAATGTAACAATTATATATTATGTCATTTATCTAATTTATAAATAATATAATAATGAATTATCCCAGTAATTTGATGTTTTAAATTTAAAACATCTGTCAACAAATTACAACGTTTGTCAACAAATTCACTTTCTCTCTTACATTTAAATTATCTTACAATAATGTCATTCACTTTTGAAGTTATCTTAGATTTGAAAATTTGTAATACTAAAATTGTAATGATGATGTTTTTATGCTAAAAGAAAAAGTCAAAAAGGTAAAGTGAAAAAAATAATTTGTTATTTTTGCTTAATTCTTTCTTTGCTTTTGTTTTAATTTCATTAACTCTTCTAAATTTGCATTATTTTTTGTTTTAAATCGAAATTTTCGAAATTCTTTTGCAAAATTTATGAGAAAGCGACAACGTTTCGTTTATCTGAAAAATTTTCCATTCATGAAAATATGAAAATAATATTAGCAAATATAATAAGTATAAATATTTTTTGAATTTTTTTTTGAATACTTTTTGAATTTTGAATTTTTGAATTCCTAAATTATACCATATAATTTATAAATATTTAAAACTTTGATTCCAAAGAAATTTTCAATTTCATTTTTAACAAAAAAGAATTTTATGCCTTTTCAAATTGTATTCAAAGGATACAGGGCTGGTTGTATAACCTTGCGTTAATATCCTATAAACTACTTTGCAATTTATTGTGAATTCATCGTATCGGAATGAAATTTTTGTGTTTTTACTATTTCATTCGACAAATTTTATTTACCCATTGATATTGCTATTAAAAGAAAAAAGTTTTACGATTTAATTAAAACTTTTCAACAATTTCATTGTTTTCATAGTGGAAGCAAAACATTCATTGGATATGTGATCATTCAGAAGAAACTTATCTATGATAAGCTTTTCAATCTTATCATTTCATCAAACTAAATTTTTTTTTAATTTCCTTTATTTTATACGAAAGTTTTACGAGTAATTTTGGTTTAAATAATCTTCTAGACAGGATGAATGCAAATAGCCGAACATTATGGCATAAAGTCTAATATCATCGAAGATATTTTCTATCTTTCACTTTCATTATCATTGATATGATATGATATTGTTATTATCAATAGATAAGAGAAAAAATTGCTGTTAACTAAATTGATTGAGATGTGATAATTTTGCAAAATATATGAAACATTGAATTTTACATCAAAACTGAAATAGATGAAAATAATCGAAAAATGAATTTTGGATAGATGAATATATTTGAGAATATTATTAAACTGTTAAACAAAATGTTCTCATGTTTATTTATCATTTGATAAGAAGAAAATAATTTAGGATATAATCAATCTATTTTATTCTGTTTACATCTTTTTCCTCCTTTCCATATCACAGGTAATATTAAAATAATGAAAGAGAAAGTAATACTATCTTATTTATGGAACAATTTCTGTGAATAGATTAATCGTTGCTAAAATTTTACCATACTAAGCGATACGATGAAAGATTTCGAAAATGATAAATTGATAACTAATTAGCAAGAACAAAATTAGAAATAATTAAATTATATTTTAAGATTGTTAACATTAATTTCAAATTAGGACTTTCTGTAGTGATTTATCTCTTTGAAATTTTTCTCGTTTTTGAAAATACATTTATATTAAATTAAATTTTCCCATCTTATCATTTCATATGATTATTTTCATTTACTTAGAATTGCACTGCAAATATTACTGCTTCACATTTGTTGCATTTAACTTGTTCCTAAACGTATGAAACTTAAAATTGAAATTGAAAAATTATTTAAACAAATTTATTTCGCTTTTTGTTTATTTTTGTTTCATCATTTTATTCCTACAATGTGTAAGAAATCATTTCCATACGATATTCACAACGTCCTTTTAATCCGTAGTTCATTAATTATCCATTAATTATCAACTTTTTATTCTTTGAATATGAATACTTCCTTTTGCTGAATTTATTTCAATCATTAAATTTCATATTTTCACCAATTATACTACAATATTACTAATTTTTCTCCAATGCATAATCTTATCTTTAATCAATAATTAGTTAATTTTTGTTTCAATAAAGTATGATATTTATATAAATATAAAATTTGCATAAATACATAAAATTACATTAGATGCATTATTAATTGCATTTCATTGCATTTCTCCCACTCATAGCTTATAATAATTACATAAATTAAAATCAAACTAAATTTTTTGGTAGCATATTCTTCTCTTTGCTCTGTGATTTCTTAAGACATTAATAATTTATCAAATTTTGATAAAAATTTAATCGCTACTATTTCAACAATAGAAATTGTGAAGTTTAAATATTCTATCTTTTTATTGTTTTACAATAATTAGAGCTTTTTAAACTGTCAATAATTAAATTCTATTATTCATTAACCATATCATTGATTTTTTCCAACAAACAAAGAAATAATTCTTTTTATCAAAACACAATATTTTACAACATACTATCAATACAAATAAAAATTTAAAAAAAAAATGAATTTATCAAATTTTGATAAAAATTTAATCGCTACTATTTCAATAATAGAAATTGTGAAGTTTAAATATTCTATCTTTCTTTCTCTTCCTCCTTTTACATCATTTCTTCCTACATAATATTTAAAAAATTTAATCGCTACTATTTCAATAATAGAAATTGTGTATCTTTCTTTCTCTTCCTCCTTTTACATCATTTCTTCCTACATAATATTTAAAAATCATTAAAGGCTTTAGGAATTATAAAAGTATAGTAAATAAATAAATCCAAATCGATAAACGATTTCATCCGATCATTAAAAATAAGTGAAATAGCACTAAGCGATCATTTCAAATTCCATCCTTTTATAAACAATTTTCGATGAACAAATTTATTTCTTTTTAAATTGTTGTTTATTTGAAATGAATTTTAAATATTTTCTTTAAAAAGATTATTTCCTTTTCTATGCTTTTTAATAATATTTTCATTTCACATATTTTTTTGAGAATAATTTCCATCATTTCCAACTTTTTCCCTTTTAAATTTTATATATAATTTAAAAAGAAAAAAGAGGAAAATTTAAATTATATATATAAATTTAAATTATACGTATAATTTAAACTATCTTTTCTTAATTATAAACTTTGAAACAATGAAATTGCCTTAATGAATCGAATACATTTGAAACTTTTTCTTCACTTTTATTTCTACACTATCGCTTTTTTTAATTATATTAAAAGTATAGTCGTAGAATGAATAGAATATTGAAATGAGTTTTTTGTTTTATTATTTCGCTAGGTTCTTTTATTTATCACCGAAATATAACACGATTGAGAGAAATAAACTGAACTGTTAAAGAGATTTCTTATTCATTCCTCATCTATTATTATGTGTGTCAACAATTGCAGAATATTATAACAATTAAGGTATATTATTTTGTTCTAAAGAATTTGGAATAGTTATTGTATTATTTAAATTTGATTTAATTTATTTTCTTTTTTGTTATGTTATCGTTTCAGTACCAAAACAAAAATTGGATTATACAAAAATCGATGTATGATTATCAGTGGAAAATTTTTAAATTTTGCTGTTCTTATTTGACAGTTACCTAAAATTGATTTTTGAAGTCAATGAATGGCACGCTGATAATTTCAATTAAAAGAAATAAACGAACATATATCACAAATGAATAACTGATATTACAATTAAAATTTTAAGAATGAACAATATCAGTTATAAAGAAACAAAGCAAAACATTTAGAGTTATTTATTATGATATCTACAAACTATCATTTGTAAAAATTCATCTAATTATTTTATTTATTGAGAAAGGAAAAAAGGTTGAAATACTTCAAATTATTTTTCGATATATCTTAAACTGAATTATTTCACGATGGTACTACACAGTTGACACTACGATGATACTACACAATTGGTACTACGATGATACTACACAGTTGGTACTTCGATGGTACTACACAGTTCATTCCAAACAATCCATTTATGTATTTTCGAAA